AAGGGAGGGTAATGATAATGAAAGGAGAGAATTTAATCTCCCAGAGAGGAGTGCGGTAAGTATAACTTTGATACAATTTTTCCTATTTCTCGTGGTATTTCTCTGTAATTTTGTGGAAATAACTGTCTTGTATGTTGAATTATTAATAAATTGCACAGTTGAAACTCCTTTTTCCTCTCTTTGAGTGGTGTTTTTTTTTTACTCCCTAAGATCACGCAGAGGACAGTATCGTCGGAGTCTGGGGACCTCGGAGGATGTTTGCACATACCACCTACGTCCTTACCCTCACGGAACAAATATATATGCGAACAATTAGAATTAGAATAGAATTCAGTAGCGAAGTGGTAAACCGGTTTAAGTCGATTTTGACTATTGGCCAGTTTTTAGTGAATATCGCGGAATCGAAGGGAGATAGCTAAATTTTTGTCAGAACCTTTTTTGTAGCACTCAATTTGCTCTACAAAAAAGGTTATTACGAAAAGTTCATTATCTCCTTTAAATTCGGAGATATTCTTCAAAAACTCAACTAAGAGACATATTTGCATTTATGACGTGATACGTCTATGGTTTCAATGTGGGCGGGTTATTTTGGGGGGGGGTTCCTTATGTGCAGCGCCATCTATCGGAATTCCAGAAAATTCTAGACATTTAGAGGTAATTTGAGAAGTTTCTTGAGATTTCGAAAAAATTCGAGGAGTTTCTAGGAAATTCGAGAAACCGCCTGCAATTTTTTTTGGCAAAAAATGCTGTATTCGAAATATATGTTGAATATCTACGTGCACATATACGTGCACGTATTATTCACTCTACAAGTATTTTTTACTTGCACACTCTCAAACACAAGATCGAAGGATTTAGTTGTCGCTAACGAGGCTTCTCAACTATCAACGACTGGCGTCAATAGTTGAAAGGCATCGTTGCCAGCAACTAAATCGTTCCATCAGTTTCTAAGGCGCTATCTTACCGTTTCCTAAGGCCTGTTGAAGATTAACTATCAATCGAAACGTCACGACTTGACCATGAGAAGAAGTGGTTTTTAACGAGTCGAATATCCCGCGCTTCCACTTCAGAAAATTAACATCATGAACATGAGCCCATTCTTTACTTCCATATACTGAACCTAAAGGTGGAAGGATTTAGTTGCTAACGAGGCTTCTTAACAATCGACTAATGGCGTCAATATTTAAAACGCCTCACCAGCAACTAAATCATTCTACCAGTTAACTTCCAACTTATTGGTTTCTAAAGCCCGTTGAGGATTGAATACCAATCGAAGCGTCGCGATTTGGCCATGAGATAGTGTCATTTTTTTACTGAGTCCAACATCCCCGATTCCACCTCATGAAATTAACATCATGGACATGATGTTAAATTCATTCATCACAACGCAGCTGATCGAGCACATCAATCATGAAGCCCTCAACATCCGTAAAAACCTCAGAGCCCATTTTCGGAAACAAAGAAATAGAAAAGGAAGTCTGTCGCGCTAGAATGGAGGTCACACTAATTTCCCCAAAAATCGCCCTCCAATGGGCTCCCACAACTCTCATCGACTCCCATAATTCACACGCATGTCCACACATGTGTGGAATGAAAACGTGAAGTAACCTGTTTCGGTATGAGTCGGTATTATTGCCCATCTCCCAGCAAAACTATAAATACGGTGTCGCACACGTTGCATTACAACGGTTAAGAGAGAGATGGCAAGATTTTCAAGAGTTAATATTCATCTATTCTGCCTCAACTCCGCTGTGTTGTACATGCTTTTAGGCGGGGAGGGGAGGGAGGGGGGTGAGGGCTGGGGGGAGGGGCGGTGAGGGCTGGGGG